ATCAGGCAATTATTCATACGCAGTTGATTTATGGTCCGTTGGATGCATATTTGCTGAATTTTTTACTGAAAATGTGGGATATCCACTGTTTGATGGTGGAAGCGATATTGAACAATTGTGTAAAATATTTCGAATATTAGGTGTGGCTAATGAATTGAATTGGCCGGTAAGTATAGTATAGTTCTGATTAAATTTTATTTAAGATTATTTAAGAATGCCTTTTTTTATTAAACTTACATAGGAAGTTATTGAATATCCTGATTATGGAAAATTTAAATTTGTTGAAAGTGATTCAGTTGGATTGACAATAAAACATTTGCCTCATGCAAATAAAGAAATTATAGATTTTATTGCAAAATTTTTAAGATATCCTACAAAAGAGAGAATGACAGCACAAAAAGTAATTAAAATCCTTTTTTTTTTTTAAATTTACCATATAATTAGTTTGATCTTAATATTTTTTTTTCCAATTTTTTAGGTATTACAGGATTCTCTTTTCAAATCAAATGATTTTTCAAAATTTTTTATTAATATTTCTTGCTTAAAGAAAAAAAAACATAATTTATCATTAATACAATAATTTTAATAAAAATATATATTAAAGAAAAGTTTTTTTTTTAAAATAAGATAAATCATGAAATTACAGTTTTTTTTTATTAATTAATAAAATTATATTTACTTATTATTTTCATATATGATTTAAATATTAAAATCAAAGTATTTTATTTTAATAGTAAATATTTATATATATATTAAATAATATAATTAATTACAAATTGTAAATTTATATATGAGTTGATTATGAAGACTTAATTGTATACTATATTACCTAATTTAAGTATAGGCATAGTCAGTGATGTACATTTTCGATGTCCCAAACATTTTGAGACTGTTCCACACTATATCCCAAAATGTCTCACATTAAGTCCCAATGTCCTAAAAATGTTTCATAACAACACTAGGCATAGTATCTGTATTAAATACCAGTATATTTAATACAAATGATAGTAGTATAATTTAAAGAAAATTATAGTTATATAATATGGGTTTTATATATAATAATTATATAATATTATAACTTTCAAAATGATATAATTAAACAGAATTTACAAATATAAAATATATTAAACTCATTTTTTTATAAAAAAATTAAAAATATAATATTAGTTTTTATTATGATTATCAGCAGTAGTCTTTTATTTTATTTTTTTTTTATTTTTTAATAAAATATATATAAATTTTAAAAAAACTAATTTTAATAAATAAAAATGTAATAGTATTAATAAATTATACTAATGTAAAGCTTTATGATCAGATTGGGAAATATAGTATTAGTATAATAATTAATACAATAAGTATAGTTAGTATATCATAATAATTAATATAAAAATTAGTACAAATATAATACAAGTACAATGTTAATTTTATCTAGTATATACAAAATTTCCAATCCTGTCTATAATCAGTAAAACAAAATATCCAATTATCTGTCTACTCAAAAAATTAAATCAATACATAATTGGTCTTTTTTATTACACATGTGCTTTAAACTTAATAATGATTTTTCGTTTTTTATTTATAACAAAATAATGAAATATATTCAGATTAATAATTTTTTTTTAAGTTTATAATATAATACTAAAATAGTTCTCATAATTATTTTTAAAATTTTTAATTAGTTGCAACTATTTATAAATTTTTATATTAAAATAAATTTACAAGAAGTTGCAACCAAGTTGCAATTTCTTAATTATAGTGCCTAACTTTATACAAAATATTAAATTATTGTTTATTTTTGACGCAAATCTAGAAGAAAATGCTGATGGTGATGTTGATGGTGGTAAAAAAGGTGATAGAAAAGATAATGAAGAAGATGATAAAGGAATAGATAAAGTGAAGATAGAGATAAAGGTGGTGATAAAATAGTGATAAAACAGAACTGCTAGCAAACTTACTAATACATCTATTTGAAAATGCTGAAAATTTAAACAATATAAAAGAACTACCAGCAGAATCACTACTGTTCTAAATACTAATAATTTTAGATGTTCTTTTGAAAGCATTGGCAAGTATACTGAAAGTACCAAATTTACAATAATAAGTTATTTTTGTTATTCCTTTTATTATTCTTTTATTTTTTTGAATTAGTTCTATATAAGTTCTACTACAAGTAGATATATTAGTATTTCTTTCTCTTTTTCAATTTTCTCATTTTTTCTCTTAATAGAAACTGTATCCTTTTTGTTACTCACCTTTTCTTCAAGAAATGTCATTTTTTCTTATTGTATTCTTAAAGTTAGATAAAATTTTTTTTCTCTGTGACATTTTTTTAATAATGGAATAATACTAAAAATCTAAAAATTGTGCTTTCTATTAACCAATAAAATTTCATATGTAATTTTATTTGCTTTTTATTGGTTATGATAAGTTATGCATTTGTCTTACTGAACATTTGATCATATGAAAGGGATGCATTTTTAAATCGATATAAGTTAGAAATAAATAATTAATTTTAAAAAAGGAGGCTAGCAATTTGTAGTTAAAGATGAGAGACAAATATAAAAAAGCAATTAATAAATAGCCGAAATTATATTAAAACATAGTGAAAGGTATTACAAAATCCTAAAATCTGAAATTAGCTGAAATTATATTAAAAACATAGTAAAGGGTATGATAAAATTATTTTGAGAGAGTTTTAGCAAATATCTTTATTTGTAGTAAATCATTTTGGCTTCAAAATAGCAGTTTTCTTTTTTTAATATTATTTTTGTATTATTTTTATAACTTTTAAAAATTATCAAATTTATTGAAATCTTTAAGTGTTATATGCATTGTAAGATGAATTCTATAAAATTCTTATTTTTATTCTTAGAATATTCAATCTGTAATTCTTCATAAATTTCTAATTTTTTACTATTGATTCTTCTTTTACTAGAACTTATACAATTCTTTCTGCTTATATATTCTATAAAGATAATAATAATTTTTATTATAACGATAGCTTTTTTAAATATATTCATATCTTTATTTATTTGAATTTAATGATCTTAAATACAATAAATATTTTTAATAATACTCTATTTCTTCATCAAGACCTGCTAATACCTCCTAAAAAATCTATTAAGATGATCTATCTAACTATATCTTAAAAAAATAAATGAACTCTTGATTAAATAATTTCTTAAGAAAACTATAAATATATTTTTATTAATTCTTATTATTAACTATTCCTTTAAATATGGAGAACAATTATAAGAAAGATCAAGATAGAATTTATTGTGAAAATCTGCTTTAATTGTTTTTAGATTTCTTATCTGAATTATGAAATTAGACTTATGATCAATATCAATCATGAATAATTTGATTAAACAACTAATTAATAAATATGTTAGATTATTTATTGAATTTATTAACCTTATAATTTCTAAATAATCTTCAATATATCATATAGATTCAAATAGAAGATATAAAGATTTTTTCTCATATTTATCTAATGAAAACTATACTTAAATTATTATCAGATTAGTATTAAATATTATTTATGATTACTATATATATAAGCTAAATGATAGAATAAATAATCCTATTATTTTATTATCAACTCAAGAGAAACTGAAAAATTATTTATTAATATGATCATTAATATGTTAAATGAAAATGATCAAGTTATCTTACATATATCTATAGAAATAGTATCACAAAATTTTTAGACAAATAATTTACTAAGTTTTATATATTATTTTAACTTGTAAAAATTATATATATATATCTATGCTAATAGATAAGAATCAATATTCTTATTTTTGATGAAATATTTATGATCTTTTTTATCTCTAATACTTTCACAAATTTTCATAATAATGCTATTATTTTTAGTAGAATAATTGTTATTGTAACTGATAATTTTTTACAACTACTTATAATAACTGATCAACTAGTCTTTTACATAATCTTTTGATCATTGTTTATTCATTATTTCTAAAAAATCCATAATATTAGCAAACTGATCTCATATTCTACCAGATATTATATGAAATCTGAATAGATTCTATATTTTAGAAACTTGAATTATATTGAAAAATTGTTATACTAAATTCTTCATTAGATTCTTAAACCAAATCCTTCTCAATACTATCTATATCATCAATTTCAGATAAACAGCTTAAAAGATTAACACAATGATCTGTAATACTCTACCAGTTCCAAATAGTTGATTTATTATATCTAAAACAATCTATATTGTTAATTTGATCATATAAAAATCATCTTTCTTTAATCAGATCTTTAAATATAAAACAAACCTTCCTTTTTGTATTTATCTTCAACTAAATATATAAGTGATATACTTGAATAATTTATTCATCAAACAAGTAATATGATAGAAGTAATTATTAATATAAATTCTATTGAAGAAACTATATAAGTTGTATTTCCTATCAGAGGTTTGATAATTAATATCATCAACACAATACTTCCAACTAAATGGAAGCAACAATTAGCATATGTAATATCCCTTATAGAATTCTTCACTCTAATCATTTATAAACTCAGTTTTTAATCATTTTAAGAGTAACTTTTGAAAACATATTTTCATCTGATTAAGCATATGTTGCTCTTAACAGATCTTCTATCTAAAATAACATTAACATATTACACCTTGATTGTTTGGCCTTTATAATAGATCATGGTTTTATTACTAAATACAGAAGGTTAAAAAAAATCTCTAACATCACCCCTTAATGATTTGTATGAAATGCAAAATCATTATGCAACTTTTTAAATGTAAAACAAATAAAGTTTTAAATCCAAAAATTACAAGCATACATTTATGATCATCTGATGATTATTAAACTCATTTAGTTAGATCAAAAAAAGTATTTGTTTATATGATTATCAATTACGTAATTTGTGATATCATAATTGTTACGTTATTAAAATTACCAATCTTTAATTTCTCCCTTTTAATTTTTTTCTGACAAGTCTTGTATTATAATTAAAACATGACGAGTCAAGGTATAAACATTGATTCATTTGATAAATTTATAAAGTAAATTTTCTCTTATCAATAATTTTAGCTTTGGCTAAAACATCAACAGACCTCGGAAAGGGTCATAATCATAATGCTAAACATAAACAACTGCCGATAGCTGAACAGAATGTCGTTTCAGCACTTTCTTCAATAGAAACAAGCATTTGCGGAGCAGTTGCAGGAATGATATCGAGGTATGTTAATTACATATGTGATTCAATAGCAATGAACAGTATATATAAACCTAGTGATATTTACTTTACTATGATGATATTGATAGATTTATTGCTTCTCCATTAGACGTTGTGAAAATTCGATTGCAGGTAAGTCTATTCGTTTATATATATAATTTTTCCATGGATAATTTCTAAGTGCGATTAAATTATTAGCTTCAACCGGGAAGACCAATTAATCCTATATTGTCAGGAAAATTGCCAAACCAATCTACTTATTATTCTGACAGTTTTGCAAGGAAGTATAACGGAATGTTTCACGCAATTAAATTAATCGTTCGAGAAGAAGGCATTCGGGTAAATTAGTTATATTTTTATTAAATTTTATATTTACCAAATGTTTAATCCTAATTTCTAATTGTTTGTAGGGATTATGGAAGGGTAATCTTGCAGCAGAATATTTATATTTGACATACGGTGCTATTCAATTTTTAACTTATCAACGAATGCAAAATTTTTTCAACCATATTTATCTGAACAAAAATGGAAAGCCTATTATGAATGTTAAATTACAGCCGTTTTTGAGCGGAGCTATATGTGGAACAACTGCAACTGTTATCACATATCCTTTCGATTTGCTAAGGACACGTTTTGCTGCACAGGGTGAAAAGAGGGTAAAGTCGAATTTTTCAGAATGGAAATTATTCAATTAATTATTATTTTTTTTTAAAAAACAAATAAATATTTTGTATAGACATATACAGGATTAAATCATGCAGTACAGCAAATTTATGCGCAAGAGGGATATCGTGGGTTCTATAGAGGAATTACTGCGTCGGTTGCACAAATTATTCCCTACATGAGTTTAATGTTTGGAAGTTATGAATTCTTAAAGAAATCATTTAGAAAAATGGAGGTAAATGATTAAAAATATTGAACTTCGAGCAATTTTTTTTCTTTGACATTTTTTTTTAAGCCGCTTTTCATTGAAATCAGGAAAAGAATATTTGGTTTCATAATTTCAAAGGTGCAGAAGATTTACTCAGCGGGGCAGCATCAGGAATAGTGAGCAAAGCTGGTGTATTTCCACTCGATTTAATAAGGAAAAGATTACAAGTACAAGGTCCAAATAGAACAAATTATGTTATATCAAATGTCCCATTATATTCTACTTCCATATTTATTTGTATTAGGCAAATATTAAGACATGATGGATTTTTTGGTTTATATAAGGGCCTTACACCTGCTTTAATTAAATCTGCTCCTGTAAGTGCCGTGACGTTTTTTGTTTTCGGACAAACAAAAAAGCTTTTAGAAAACTTTCATTCTTCAAAAGATATATGATTTTGTGATGAGTGTGGAAATAGTAATTTTGACATTAGATAAATATATTTTTATATTAGTCAATTTAAATAATTTAATGTTTAATAAAATGTATTTGACGCGTTATATAGTTACTTATTATATTTTTAACATATTTCCTATATGGGAGGTTTGCTATTAAAATCACGTTACGGATCTTATGATTTACTATGTCTCGTAACTCAATTTTAATAGCAAACGACCCATAATGTTTAAATTTCTCCGTATTTGATATAAGTTAGAAAAAGTTGTTGACTAATCAAAAAACTTACTTCGTTAAGAAATTATTTGATTCTACCACGATCAGTATTCAAGAACCTTTTTTGAATGAATCCTCTGTAATTTAATATTGTTAAAAATATATCATTTCTTTGTTAAAAACTTTAATATTCCTAAAGTTATGATGATTTTACCTATATTTCTTTATAAAAAGAAAGAGGCGCCTATCTGATATAAAGAGAATTATTAGTTTGTATATTGAATTTTGCTTTTAGCAGTAGATAATTCATACTAAAAAGAAGTTTATTACATTTTGATCTATAAATCTTAGAAAATCTTATGTCTGTATTCTGTGCCAGGTTATGTCGATCAGGAGACATATATAAGTGGTCAAATCATATATGAGAATAATGGTGGTGTGATAAGGAATGATAAATAAGTGATTGACAGATATGCCTAATTATGGGTATGATTTCATGATTATTAATCTTATTGATCTTGTGTTCTTAATCCATTTTAGTATATGTGATTTAATCTCCTATATTCCTTTATGATATCGTTATCTATTTTCAGGCAGTTGAAATCAAATGAAAGTATTGTTACATTGGTTTGACCTAAGGTTGTTGTCTAAACTCATTTTGGATTTGGCTAAACGTTTAAACCTTTAATTTCATTAAATTTTTACTAAGTGTTTGGTATAGTTTCGCTATTTTTATAAGCTTTGATATAATTTTACCTTTTTCTGAATTTTGCAGATTTTTTAATATAATTTAATCAAGTTTTACTTTTATCATTTAGACGTCTGTCTAAACTCTGGATTTTATCTAGCAACCTTAGTTTAACCTGAAGCGAACATGTTTTTGTAAATTATTAGCATTGTATGTGGTAATATAATGTCTTAAGTCTTGTTTGTTGTCAAGGCAAATACATTTTGTAATAGATATTGGTTTCTTAAAACATGTTTACTATATATTCAAAGCTTATTATGATTTTTTGAAGGTTTATTTTGCTGATGTTTTTGTTTGTTAGAAAGGTAACTTCTATATTCTTTTCATTTATAATTTTTGTTATTATTCTTATCTTTCTATTGCAAATGCTATTTCTATTAATTTTGTTTAGATATATTATTCTTGCTTCTTTTTGGATTATGATAGATTCAAAAAGATTTGTATAATGTTTAAAGGATTTTTGATTGTTTTGAATTTTAAGATTTAAAATATTTATTACTTTTGAGATTATGGGATTGCAACATTGATCATTAAATAGTAAGCTTTAACAACATTGATCAAAATTAAAAAATCAGATATATGATAAATCATCTATCAATCAGACAAAAATCAACTTAAATCAACCTGTCTGATTTATGATCGATTAGAGTTGAGCCAAATTTCAATTCTGATTGGTCTAATTAAATAATAGAAAAATTGTCCAATTGGAAAATTTTTCTTAAAGAAACAATAGAAATTGTTTTTAAGAGATAATACAATCAAATTATCCTTAAGAAATGATAAAGATAATCATTTTTTTGAAACAATAGATTATTATTCTTATTGAATAATTTAAAAATTTATCCTTTTGAGACAATAGATCATCATTCTTATTGAATAATTTAAAAATCATCCAATTAGAATGATAGACAATTATTCAATAAAAACAATCAAAAAATCATCTTAAAAGACTAATAGATCAATCATTTAATTGGAATGATAAAAGAAAAATCATCTCTTTAAGATAATTCAAATCAAATGATATAAATTAACTCAAAGGGATAATACATTATCATTCAATAAGAATGATTTAAAAAAATCATCCTAAAGGATGATAGATCATTATTCTTATTAAATGACCAAATAAATCATTCCTTTGGAATGATGTATTAACATTCAATAAGAATAATATGAAAAATTATCCTCTTAAAATGATATATTATCATTCAAGAAGAACAATTTAAAAAATTATCCTAAAGGGACAATATATCATCTTTCTTATAGAGGGTTATTAAAAGTTTCCGAATATTAAGTTTGACATCATATATCTCAAGTTACACTAATCAGAATTAGTTCAAAATTTCATATAATCTTGACACAATCTCAATCTATAATATATTAAATTTTCATTTAATTTGAATCAGTGGAAGCTGAGATATGTATGTAAACGTAAATTCATAAATATTTTAATTATATAAAAATTTTTTAATATTAAAATTTAACATCATATATCGCAAGATTTACTGATTAGAATTAGTTATAATTTATATAATTATATTATATAATTGTGAACTATAATATATCAAATTTTCATTTAATTTAAATAACTAAAAGCTGAGATATAACAATATATAAATAATTTTAATTGTAAATTTTAGTTAAAGATTTTAAATATATTTTTTAAATAT